TCGGCCTGCGAGCGGGGCTGCTCGGGGCCGGGGAGGTCCCGGCCCCGGCCCCGGGAGGCGTGTGGAGAGTGCGGGTTGGCCCCGAACCCTTTCCCCCGGGCTCTCTCGTTCAGGCCCCTGGGTGAATTCTGGTTGTTTCTACTTTCTTTATAAACTTATTTTTTTTTTTTTTTCCCTCTGAGTGAGTTTCTGGGTAAGGAAAGTGTACAGTGTTCAGCAGAGGTGTCGGGACCCCTGCGTGCTTGTGGTGAAACTCGCTGGGGCGCTGAAACCGGCTGCGTGACCTGCAGGCCTGGGGCGTGACCGTGGGCCTCGGCACGACACACGTGAAATCTTACCGTGCCCGCAGCATCCCAGTATATGCTCGTACCCTGTAACTACTTGCCTGCTAACGTTAAGTGTTTGCGAATTTGATTGCTGTCCGTAATGCCTTCCTTATCTTGCTATCAAATGACTCTGTCATCTTAATTTCAAGCCCTGCCAAAACTCATTGATACAGCTGCTAAATTCATTCTGAGTTGCCACTTCGCTGCAGTTAGAAGTTCTGAGAAATAAGGAGTGAGATCGCACCATAAAAGATTTTTATGGCCTTATAAAGTCTTTACTGTGTTAAAATAGGAAAATTAAGGGATGCTTTAGCTTTGAAAGCTAAGTTCTTTGCTAATATATTGATCTACTCTGTAGTCATTGAAAGATTATTCTCATCACTTGCACTCCCTCTCTTCTGGGAGCCACAGAATGATTCAGTTCATGGATTGCTAATGCCGGGTCATTACTTCTGGTGGCACAAGGTCCAAATACAATTTGATAATGAACCATTCCCCCTTACATTATTAATCTTGGTTTCATGGTTGTAATGCCCCTGCATAAATATTTTAGTTTGGATGACAATTGCCACAAAAATCTTTAGCTGTCATTTGTTTTTAAAGTACCAGAGCTTTTGTAATGGACTACAGTAATTAAATTTAGCATTTTGTTTCCATGTTCTTTTTATACCCTCTTCGTGTAACTAGAGGTTGGCTTCAAAAAACTGGGATCCCGCATTGATGTCATGTTTCAGCTCTGAGAGATTGTCATCCAGTGAGTAGCCCCTAGGCATGAGATTAGATTGAATGTTTACAGCCCTTGCTGATTCTTTAACCTGTTGCTTAAAAAAATCCTCCTCCAATGGAGTTTCATGAGAACTGTAAACCTCAGCATGCAATAAGACTGTTGCAAGTCATGGGGAGAATGGAAGAAAACCAAGGTGGAACCTAACACTGATGTAGATCTTTTCCAGCAGTGCCCTCTGAGAATGTTCAGAGAGTGAAGAGCTGAAGCCTCCCATGCACAGGGCCAGCCAGTTCAGTCTGCAACAAGTCAAAATGTCAAGATCAGATGAATAATAATCAGCAGATAAAATGTCAGTGTGGACACCCAATATGCATTTATCAATAGAAGGAGATCAGGTACTGATACCACACAGTACTGTTTCTCTGCTGCGTGTAGAAGTTTTACAAAGGTCAAGGAGTCCAGAGGCATCAAGTTTCTCTGAAAGCTGTCTTGCTTTGCTGGGAAAGTTATGACTGGATAACAGTCAGCAGAGAGGAAAAGTTTTTCGAAACACAAGAAGCAGTTACACAGCCCTTCAGAGTGAACGCTAAAAAGTGCCCTCAGAAATGGATGATTTTTTTCCTTGAGCAGCCGTAAGATTAACGTATATACTTTGAATTGTGCCCAGGAAATA